GCCTCAGGCAAGAACAATAGACAGATAACATGACAGAGAATAAATAAACAATGACCTTAAGTGAAGAGATAGGCCAAATAGTTTCAACAGACATCTATAGAAGATTCCACCTAAAAGCCACTTCATATACATGTTTTTCAAGTAAAAATAGAACATTTTCAAGAATTGACTTTATGTTGGGACACAGGTCAGTTGTCCATAAAATCACTCAAATCAAAATGATGAACAGTACTCTCTCTGACCATAATATTATAATGTTAGAAATCAACACCACCACCAACAAATTTTTTTTAAATAGGAAAATCTATAAATATGTGAAGAATAAACAATATGCTGCTTAATAGCTATTGCACGAAAGGGGAAATTAAAGTATCAAAAAAAATGCCCTATAAAAAGCAAAAATGACGACACAAAGTACCAGAATCTATGGGATGCAGCAAAGCAATCTTAAGAGAGAAAATAATTGCAATAGGACTCACATTAAGAAGCAGGTAAATAATACTATTGCACCTAAAGTCATACCTAAAAGAGAACCAAACAAGACCCAAAGTTAGTGGACAGAAGGAAATAGTAGAAATCAATGAAATAGAGATCAAAAGGCCTATATAAAAATCAGTTAATGAAATTAAGAATTGGCTCTTTCAGAAGATAAGTAACATAGACAAACGTCTGTCTAGACTTAACAAAGACAAGAGAAAACATTAATTAACAGAATCACAACTGAAAGATAAGCAATCATCTCACTAGCACAGAAATACAAAGGATCATAAGTGATTACTATGAACAACAATATGCCAATAAATTTAATAGCCTTGAAGAAATGACAAAATTTCTAGATCAATTTCATGTACAAAGACTGACCCAGGAAGAAATGATGAGTCAAAGAATAACTTGTTAACTGATAATAAGCATGGAAATTGAAATAGTAATAAAAATATCTTGAAAGCAAAAGCCTGGGACCAGAGGGCTCAACAGATGAATTCCATCAAATCTTTAAGGGAAAACAATGTCCATGTCAGTAAAATTATTTTTTAAAGAAAGAAGAGGAAATGTTCTCTAATACATCGGATCATATCAACATTATCCTAATACTGAAAATAGAGCACAAGAAAATTATAGACCAATATCCCTGATGAATATTGACATAAATATCTTCAACACAATACTAGCAAGTTGAATTCAACAGCATTTTATGAGGATTATACAACATGGCCAAGTAGGAATTACACTAGGAACAAATATGGTTTAATATATGTATATCAATCAACATAGTACATTAAAGATAAAAACCATATGATAATATTTATAGAGGCATTTGTTAAGATTCAGCACCTATTTATGATAAAACTCCAAACAAGATGGGAATAGAAGGAAACTTCCTCAATATAATAAAGACCATACATCACAAAACAACAGCCAGTACATACTTAATAGTAAAAAACTGAGTTTTCCCCTAAGATCAGGAACAAGACAAGGATGACTACTGTCAGCACTTCTGTTTAATTTACTATTAGAGATTTTGGCCAGAGCCTCTCACAAAAACAGGAAATAAATTCCAAGTTGGAATGAAAAACTGAAACTATCACTATTTGCAGATGATAGGATAATACATAAAGTTATTGGAAATAATAAGTACAGCAAAGTGGCAGTTTACACAATTAACAAACAAAAATTGTAGTTTTTATATACAAATAACAAGCAAGAACAAAAGAAAATAACTCCATTATAATTGCTTCATACCTAGCTAAGAAGGTTACAGAATTATAAAATTAGAACTAAAAGATATTGTTAAAGGACTTAGATGGTAACATAAAGAGATGGAAGGATATTTCAGGCTCCTCAATGAGAGAAGCAAAACACTCAAAATGAGTGCACAAAGTGATATATAAATTTAATAGTCTTCACCAAAATGTCAGCAAAATTTTTCAAAGAAACTGACAAATATTGTAATTTATATGGTATAAAAGGTCTCAAGTTGCAAAAAGAGTCCTGTGAAAAAAGGAAAGAAGTAGAAAACTACATTATCTAATTTGAAACTTTACTATGTAGCAACAATATTAAAAACAATACCGATATTGCCACAAAAATAGACACATGTATCAATGGAACAGCATTGAAAGTGGAGATAATGGTAAAACACTTATGTCCATATACTAGGGAAAGGATAGTCTCTGATAAATGGTGCTAGGAAAATTAAAAAATAACACATAAAAGAATGAAATTGGATCATTGTAGTTTCACACACACACAAATCCCAAGGGGATTTAAGATTTAGATATTAGGCCTGCAAAAATAAAATATATAGAAGTAACATTGGTAATACATTCCATAATGTCAATGATAAAGATGTAAAGATTTTTTTGGACCCTAGGTAAGAGAAATAAAACAAAAATTACCAATTGGGATTACCCCAAGTTCAAAATCCTTTATACATTGGAAGAAAACAGAAATTTAAAAAAGATATCCCACTGAATAAAGAAAATATTCAACCAATACATAACTGATAAAAAGTTAATATCCAAGATAAATAAAAACTTATTACATCTCAATAACAACAATAATAAGCAACCCAATTAATAAATGGACAACAGATCTGAACAGGCATTTCACTAAAGAGGACAACCGGAGGGCAACAGACGTATAAAACAATGCTCACCATCATTTCTAGGTGAAAACCACAATGAGGTGTCATCTCATACGCATGAGAATGGCATATAAAAAGACCTCAGCAAGTGCTGGAGATCGGCTCTACCAAGATGTGGAGGAGGGACCTTACTGTACTGTTGGTGGGAATGTAAACTGTCACAAACATTATAGAAAGCCATTTGGATTTATTGCACAAAACCAAAACTGGAAATACCATATGACCCTACTTTTTGGCATCTAACCAAAGAACATTAAAAATTCACATGTCCCATAATGTCCATAGCAGCATTACTAACAATTGTCAGGACATGGAAGGATCCTCACTCTCTGTAATTTGAGAGAATTATGTGTGGTAAAACAAGTCAGAACAGTAAACACAAATACTGGGCATTTATATAGCAATTTGACAGTGTAAACTACTTTGAAAACCAGTGGACATCAATAAACTCCATGAGGACTCTGAGGTTAAGATGAAGGGGAAGGGCCACGAGGATACACGGGATGGTGGTGATGAATTAAGTAATAACAACAAGAAAGAATAAGAACAGAAATTCTTATCATGAATGTAAATGGAAATTTAGGAGACTAAAGTGTCCATTCTTCTTTATACAAAGCATTAAAAGGAAGCAGGACAAGTTACTTGCCTTTCCTGATCTGTAAAATTTACTATTCTGAGCTGAGGTCATAAAGCGGGAAGTCAGGAACACATGAAGAAGGTGTGTATGTTCACCCCATATTTGTTTAAAGATTTATTTATTTATGCATACAAAACTAGGGAACAGGCCAGAGGTGCAGAGGCAGTGGGAGGATTCACCAGTGACAGACTGGGGAGCAGTACAGGCAGATGGACAAGGTACACTGCTGAGGGGAGCAGTGGGCGGGTCAGGAGATGGCTGCCATGCCATGTGGGTCACCTCTGGGGCCAGGGATCGAACCAGCACTGAAGCGGCTGCAGTGAGCTTTCAGTGGCAGTGCTGAGTCCCAACCCATTGCACCACCAGGGAGGGCCCAGTTCACCCCATATTTTAATCATAACCTGTGTATACTTTTCTATCACTCTTTTGTTCATGCAGAGCTAAAGAAAGTAAAATTAACTTTATCCAAGTCTTCCTTGGTGTTTGGGGTCTGCCATCCACCATAGTTGTCCTGAAAAATAACACTAACAAATGCAGTACATTGGTAAATAAAATACCTCAATTCATTAAGACATATGAATTATGCCATAACGCACTAATGCCATAAGGCATTAAGGTACTATAGGCATAGTAACTCTTAGGTTTATGCTTATCAAATAATGAGATTACTATTTTCAGTACTCAGTTCTTAAGTTCTTGAGAAATTATGAATGTATTTGAATAAGGAACTAAGAGGAATAGAATTTAAAACTTGGAAATTTGGGGTAGGTTAGATACAAAAGAGAAAACTTTGTCTATGGAAATGTTGATAATACAGTTGTACCCAAAGTCATACATATTTACTTATTAATTTACATATTATCAAGGAAGGAAAATAGTATTCTTTGCTCTTTTTTTTTATAACAGTTTATTTTTACATCATTTTGTACATTTTTTTTCCATCTCAATTGTAATCCCCACGGGTTTCGCATCACCAAGTCACCCGTGTGCCATCACCATAATTCCATGCACTTCCCTCTGCACCCCACCCCCGTTATATTCTTTACTCTTTAAGTTTCCTAAAATACTGCTAAATTCTAGAAGAACTCTTTAAGTTTCCTAAAATACTGCTAAATTCTAGAAGAACATAGAGCCAAAAATGCTTCAGAGAGTCCAAAAATTCTATAAAATCAAATTTAAACTACAATAAGACACCTAAGTCCATCCAAACTGTATTCTCTCCGATGGTAGCACCAGGAAAAGGTCCACAAAGGTTCATTATATCATTTCAAAATGGATTGGATCATACCTCCCCCATTTATCTTTAACAATACCTACCTGCCTTCCCAGATGAGTCAATTATTTGTGTATTGATTCACATTTTTCTAAAACTTACATATACCTTCGTGTTGACTCATGTGGGATTATAATGTAGTACAGTTTAGCACTTATGTACAGACTGGCATTTTCTTTATTCCACATTTCATAGTCAAACAATGAAAAGAAGCATCTAGAAGGACATTTTACAGATTAAAAGATTCTCTTAAAATATGAAGAAATGCTCACAGTAGGCTACAAATTATAAACACATTTTAACTTTATATTAAACCATTTAACTCAAAATATACAAAATATAATCTAGTTCTAAAACCTCTGTAAAACAAAACGAATCTAAAAGATTCGTTAAAAATGCAATAGCACATGGATTTTTATAAATGGTGTGGTATTATCTTTCCCTCTTTTACTGCTGTAACTGCAAGTCATACTTCATCTGAAAATGACCTAATCAAGCTAACCCTGAGGCTCTTCATCAAAGTGAAGGTCAGGCCAGGACCCCCCACTTCTTCCTTGATAAATTTTGACATCTAGTTTCTAATAATCTGAGATTTTCTGACAAATCTTCCTTTTCTTGAACTTTAAGTTCTAATTTGTATCAGATTTCCCATGGATTGTAAAAATTAACTATTCAGGATGACTTAAAGGAGGAAAATGAGATGGAAAGATACAAATGAAAGATTATTGATTGGCCATTTTCCCTTGGTGGTAAAACTGGTTGAGGAAAAATAATAAGTCACTAAGCCAGACTTTAAAAAGCATTAAAACAAAATACTATGCAACAATGAAGAAGGTTTGGGTTGTGGCTAAACTATAGCTATATTTATAAAGCTGATTCTGTATCTCCACATATCTCAAATATTTTTAATTGAACTAAATTTCTCCCAGCCCTTAGCTGGGAGAAATAGATCATAACTGAGAGTAGACAACTGCATTGGCTGATTTCTTGTGGCTTCTTATTGGTTAGACAAAACTTCCAGAACATTGACTTGAACTTTGCTCACTGACCATGTCAGATGTGTTCTTTCTATTGACCATTTAAACGTTAACCAGTAGCCAAGACCTCAGAGTAGGAAGATTCTTCTGCAGCCACTTCATATTTTTGGATATGGTTTCTAGAACAGTTTGAAAAACATCCAGGTGTAATCCTTGGACTTCAAGAGATTCAAAGAATAGTTTCACCTAAAAAAAAATTTTTTTAAATAAAAAAATGAAGAAAGAAGGCAAGAAAAGATTCACTGACATGGTTCATAAAACATTTTTTCTTACAAAGGGGTTTCAGACAGCTTTCAAATTATACAAATACAGGTGCAAGCATTTCTCTGCCAACCTTTTAAGCTTATTTTCTTCTTTTACTTTGCATAATTATTAATTTTTATAGAAAGAATTTAACTCTCAAGTGTAATTTTCATTTTGAATGCTATGAATACCCATACTTTAAGAATAGGGTTTCAGTCTAGTCCCATTCACTTATTTGCTGTGTGACATTAGACAAAGAGCTTACTGTCTTTTAATAAAATGAGAATTTCAAACCAGGTTTACTTTCAATTCTACATATGGTTAGCAATAGTTACAAACCTCTTGCAACTCATCCTTGGAAGAAAAGTGAGATGTTGTACCAGCGATGACTATTCTCATAGCAAATGAGCCCAAATCAAATCTGAAAATAAAAAGGAATCCCACAGATTTAATAGAAATAGCAGCCTTGCATTTATCATCATATATTATAGATTTAAAGTATGTAACATTAAAAGCTCTATGATAAAATTATGCACTATAGTAGCTCCTACTAATTGCATAAGAATTACTCTTGCACTCATCTAATACTAATTTCAATGCTGAAATTCATTAAATTTGATCATAAAAAAGGAGATATGTCTAACTTTTCAGCTATATTCATGTTTACATTGATGTTTGTGTTCAAAGCAGTGTTCTGTACATTTGTTTGCCTATACACACCATCAGTAAAGATTTTTGAACAATAACTTCCCAATATATTTTATTTTCATTTATGAATCATATGAACACCCTATATTATGTATGGAAAAGAAAACTGAATAGCCTAAAAAATAATATATACAGTAAAATTTTATCCTTGCCTGCCAATGAGATGCACCCTTGTCCATCTCATTTTGGACACCATTGTGTTTAAACATTATATTTATTAAGGCACTGTGACAAGATTGAGCTGTCATTCACAACAGATTGCATTCTTCACCCAGGTGTTTTAAACAGAGCCTATGTAGTTGGGTCAAAGAGATTCATGATGGAAAAACAAAAGCACAACCACATCTCAAAAAATGCTCTGAGTCCTGACTCTGCTCATGATAAGGCAGAGGTACAATTTCCAGTTATACAGGAGATCTATAGCATTGCAGAAAAAAAAAATGTAATCATTTCAAAGGGAACTGACCACTATGCAAAAACAAAAACAAAAACAAAAACAAAAAAACCCAATCATTCCATTAATGTCTTTAAGGAAACGCATGGATTATTTATTTATTTATTTATTTATTTATTTATTAAAGCAATTCTAACCCTTTGATCTCATGTGGATATTTTTGAAGTTTTAGAGGCAGGGGAAATGTGCTCTTTGCTAATAAAAAGTTCTCTTCTGAAAGTCTATGGCTCCATTATAACTTAGACATGAGTGGGAAGAAGGAACTACACAGGTTAGTTGACATCAGAGATGCTGACACTAAGGTAAATAGAGCAAATGGCATACTGATTCCATTTGGTTTCTGATTCAGGATACTTTCCAGATAGTTCAAAATAAATTTTGGATTTGGAAGAGAAATGATTAAACACCCTTGTTGTAAGAGAAAGCACAGCCATGTTGTACATTCCAATGAAATTAATCATGTTGGTTCCCTTCAGGGACATTTTAGGCTCAGGACATATATTGGAGTGAATTCTAGCTCTCCCGGACATATATTGGAGTGAATTCTAGCTCTCCCGGACATATATTGGAGTAAATTCTAGCTCTTCCAATAGTTGAAACCCAGAGAAACACAGAACCAATCAGTTTTCGAAGGGAGCGCCTTAAACATTTCTAATTGGATTTGTTTTAGCCACTTCAAGTCTTTCCTGTGCCACCTCAGAAAACAGGGGTGGAAATTAGCTCTCAACAAAATTTCATATGAGTTTCCCCAGATCAAAACTTCATTAACAAAACAAAATAAGCAAAATAAACTTGAGGCACTAAATATGACTTCACTGGATTTTTTCTGGACTGGGGAAAGCCCTTGGTCGGAATAAGGCTGGTCATTTAAATCCGTTGTTTTGTTCCCAGGAAATCTTTGCCTGAACGGAATGAGAGAAATTTGTTTTTATTTTTGTCTTCTCATTCTTTTCTCTTACACTTGGAGAGGACAAACTGGTACATGGAGTTTTAAAGCTGACATACTTCATCTTAATATTAGGATAAAACAGTATCATTTATAAGCTTCAGGGACACTTGATTACACTAAGTCTTAAACAAGTGAGACATCTAGATGGAAGAACACATGTTGTAAAAGAATACCAACTTGTTTTGGAGATGGGTCCAATTTTCTCTTACAAAATTCCAAGCTAATTGCTGTCCACTTGGATTTCTGGCAATTGCATAAAGAAGAGATGCCAACTCCTGGGTCTTGATAACCTTTCCTTCCATTCCTAATCCAATTAATCTGAAGAAATAAAAACCAATTGATATTTTCATAGCATGTGGTATGCAATGGACATTAACAGAGGCTACTAATATATTAAGAGAATCGGACAGAAAGAGTAAATCACGAAAATAAGATTTACCAAAAACTAATAAATTTTCTACTAGCTAATATTTTTAATGTTTCAGTGACTTTTTTCTAACAGTAATCTTATTCATTCATTAGTTCAAAAAATTAGCATCTTATATACAAGAATATATATATATTTTAATGCATAGAGAACTGGGGCACAGGTCAGAGGTGCAGGGATGGTGAAAGGATTCACCAGTGACAGACTGGGGAGCAGAACAGGCAGATCATCGAAGTACACTGCTGAGGGGAGCAGCAGGCCAGACAGGAGAGGTCTGCCATGCCATGTGGATCTCTTCCACAGCAGGGGATCGAACTTGCACTGAAACGGCTGCCGCCAGTTTGCAGAGCTGTGTCCTAACCTGTTGCGCCACAAGAATGTAGTCTTACAATAATAATTTTCTTTTAACATTCTGAAAAAAGAGCAGTTATTTGATTAATTAAATGATTAATAACTTGGGAATACCTGTTTTCTCCATTTATATTTTGTCAATATAGTTTTCTGAGACAAAGTCAAAGCAACTCAAATTCTGACTCAATTAATTTATTTGTGGCTGAAAATGTAGGGACTTCCCAAACTTGTAACAGTTAATTTCTAACAATTCAGTTAATTGATGCACTTACTTCATTAATTTCTCCTGGTCTTTGCTGGTTGACAATGCATATAGAATTTTGTTTTTTTCAGCACCCGACATTGATAGTTCATACTGTTTTAAAAGGTAATTCCAGCCTGCTGTGGTCTGAGCACCCACTGAATATACAATCTTTAAGACATCGGTAGGAATACTGTAATAAAATATCAAGCACAAAAATGAAGAAAAAATTATATGAAAGAAAAAATTCCCTTTTCTTATAACAATTTTATATTGTCATAAAAAAATCATCCCTGAGTTATTTTCAGTACCCAGCCTAGTAAATCTTTTTTCTGCCAAACTTTTATAAAAATATTTTATGTGGCAGGAGAGCTAAAAAGACACTTCTCCAAAGAGGAAATGAAAAAGCATATGAACAAAAGCAACAAGCATATGAAAAAAATGTTCAACATCACTTGTAATAAGGGAGATGCAAATTAAAACCACAATGAGATAGCACCTTACCCCAGTGAGAATGGGACATCTTAAAACAACTAGCAACAACAAATGTTGGCGAGGATGTGGAGAAAAAGGAACTTTCTTGCATTGCTGGTGGGAATGCAAACATGATGGAAAACTGGAGTTTCCTCAAAATGCTTAACTGGAGTCTCCATATGACCCACTCCTAAGTATCTACCCAAAAGACACAAAAACACTGATTCAAAAAGATACTTGCACCCCCATGTTTATTGCTTCTATATTTACAATTGGAAAGACATGGAAGCAGCCCATTAAAAAGATGTGGTACATACACACAATGGAATATTACTCAGCAACCAAAAAAAAAAAAAAAAGAAACACATGTCTTTTGCAGCATGGATGGAGCTGGAGAAGATCATGCTTAGTGAAATAAGTCAGAAAGAAAAGGAAAGATACCAGATGGTTTCTCTCATACCAGGAGTATAACAGATCAGGCAAGAAAATAATAATAATAATGAACCGCTATAATAATAATAATGAACAGCTATAATAATAATAATGAACAGAGATATTTTATGGGGGTGGAGTGGGGAATGGCATAAAAAACAGTGGGGGGGGGGGAGGAAGGAAATGCACTGGACTGTGGTGATGGTACAGGGTGATTTGGTGATGGGAAGCCCAAGGAAATTACAACTGAGATGAAAAAAATGCACAAAATGATGTAAAAAATAAACTATTATATAAAAAAATTTATGTAATTTTGTCTTGCAAATTTAATTTTGTTTTTGTCTCTACTGATGATATAATATTAGCAAACAGACAAATCATAAAATTTTAACCTCAATGAGAGATATGACTCTAAAAAATATATTAAAGTACTTGCTTATAAATAGGTCTATCATTAAATAACTTTCATTGGTGTTATAGAACTTTAAAAGAAAGATGAGTATCCTTGTTGCCTTAATGTCATGTTAAGAGTATTTTCTTTCTTTTTTAAAAATTTATTTCTTTATGCATATGTATAGGCCAGAGGTGCAGGGGCGGTAAGAGGACCCACCAGAGACAGAGTGGGGAGCAGAACAGGCTGACTGCTGAAGTACATGCTGAGGGGAGCAGCGGGCGGGTCAGGAGAGGTCTGCCACACCATGTGGTTCACCTCCGGGGCAGGGATCGAACTCATGTGGAAGTGGCTTTAGCTTCTCAGTGCTGTGCTTTAACCCGCTGCACCACCAGGGAGGGCCCAAAAGTATTTTCTAATGGCTTGTCTGAGGGTCATCTCACTTACTAGGTCTAAATAATTATAATTTAGCACTAATTACTTAGAGTTCAGTCATTTGTAATTCTGAAAACCTGATAACATGTAATAATATTATTTTCTTTCTACCTAAAGCAAACACTACGATTGGGGGGCTAATTGTCCTAAAGGATATGAATTTTTTTATTCTAATTTGGTCTTTGATTCTTAATCCCAAGTATTGTTAGATAGATAATAACTGGTATTCACACTGATGACTCAGAAGAAACCCAATAGACAAGTAAAGATAGGGCAGGAAGTTTACACTTATGCAAATATGAAATTATTCATATCATATTATGGGGATTGTACTAGTGCCTACATACTTTATTTAAGTATCAAAGGTATTCAGTGAGATAATTAATAACCTTATTGCTTTTAAGTGGAAATAAAACTGAGAAAGGTTAAGTTACATCAAGTGACATACTAGACATTTTGAAGATGGAATTTGAACCTATGATAATGCTTATGCTATTTACTATACCATACATATATGTATAAATATGTACACACACATATATAGTAGTCAATCTACCTTGTTTTGATTTTAGTGTAGTTCAACATTTATGAAAGTTGGTAGTCATTTATTATACATTTTTTGAAAGTATGACACATAGCTGCTTGTTATTCCCTACAGTAGCTCTTGACACATAAGTAACATGCAAAGAATTATATTTTGATTAGTTAATGAAGTAATCAATCATGTAAGATAATTTCTCATTAGAATTAGTACCAGCAGTCTTAGAGCTTAGGGGGAAAACTGTACAATATTTAATTATATACTCTGAATCACAAGTATAAATAAAATCTACCATAGATAGTTACTGTAGGCCTGTCATCTCTCTTGCAATTAGCTTAAAAATGGAATACCTTTCTTTTATGTTATAGGACAGTGAGATGTTTACCTTTTAGCCCACCTCATACAACCCATTTAAATATGGGAAAAACAAGGTAATAGTTAAAAGATATCTCCAGGCCCTCCATGTGGCAGAGCAGGTTAAAGCACAGCACTGAGAAGCTAAAGCCACTTCCGCATAAGTTCGATTCCCACCTGCCCTGAGGTGACCAAATGGCGTGGCAGACCTCTCCTGGTCCACCTGCTGCTCCCCTCAGCAGTGTACTTCATCGATCTGCCTGTTTTGCTCACCACTCTGTCTCTGGTGAAGCCTCTCACCGCTCCTGAGCCTCTGGCTTGTACCCCAGTTCTGTATGCACAAATAAATAAATCTTTAAAAAAAAAGATATCTCCAAATCATTTTTTTGGCCTTATAATCTCTATGAGCAGAAAAGCCCCCAAAGTAGAAAACTAGAATCACTTTTTAAAAATAAATTCAAGCAAAGATTTCAAAAAACTCTCTAAGATTTAGTTACATGGAAATTATAATGGTATATCATAGCAATTTGGCACAGCAAAAATTGACGCCATTATATTATAGTAGACCCATTACAACAGAGTATAAAAACCGTGAATTTTTTCTTCTATTTAAAAAAGTGGTGTGATATTTATAAGTAAACCATACATCCAAAACCTACATAGCATTGTAAACCAGTATTACCTCAATAAAAATAAAAACTAAAAATAATAGCCATAAGGGACAATTTTGTCATCATACACAGGTTTTAGACATGCCAAATCACCCATTTCTCATCAAAGGTGAAACTGTAGCCAAGGCTTCCTTAGCCTACAGTACTTGTCAATGAGAAAGTGAACTTTTTATAAAAATGACCCCCTTTTAATTTTTGTAAGTCCCACAAGTGATGCTGGTGTTTTTGTTGCATGTATAATTCACATTATTTCTTCAAACTTCTTTTCATCTTTACAAAGCATCACTTTTAGAGCTTGGTCTCCCCTACTTCCACTCCGCCTTTTTTTTCTGTTACCATGTCAATGTTTATTAGCCATCCCCCCACCATCCCCCCCCCAACAATAGGGGCCTAAAACCTTACTTCCCGGGAAAATCTATTGAGCACTTACTATGTGGAAGCATGACACATGGATATATAATTCCCAGCATGGTTTTTATTTTCTATCCTCACTAAAAGGTTTTAGATATAATGTCTTGCTTGATCAAAGACTTTAACATCAAAGTTAAAGGAACAAAGGATAGAACAGAAGTTTGTATCTACTTTGATTTTCCACTGGATTCCATCCACTGAGAGAAGAGTTCAGTCGCCTTCTGGGTACAGGGAGCATGATTCAGGTAACAGGCCAGGTTCAAGATAGTCGAACGAAGTGTCCTGTCCCAAATGGAGCCTTCATCACTCCAGCTTTGCATGTCAATCACTGGCATAAAGTACCGGAGAATGTAAAGCTGCAGAGAGCACAGGATTTGAAGAGAGGGAGGCTAAATTTAGTCTTTACCACAGCTCTTATTCACCCATCTGAAAGGGCTGAACTCTAAAGTGAATGAGTAGAATTACTTATCTTAACAGCTCTCTCTCCCCACCACCCACCATACTTAAAGAGTTAGTTTCTGCTTTAAAACATGCCTAACTTTCCTCTCTGAGAGGGCAATATCAATTGATAAAATCACCTCAGGAGGGATATTTTTCTCAAGATCCTGCTACCTCACTCTAAGATGGTTATGACAAGGAATCAGCAGTCTCAGACATTAGGTACACTGGCATTAACTGTGCAATCAGCCATTCTTGCCAGCACCAGATTCCCCGGTGAAGTGTAATAGTTTAATATAGAAACAGATGCCAGAATAAATGATATCTCTGTTGAAGTTTTCATTAACATTTCTTACCTCCTCAAACAGTTCACCCCAAAAGTTCAATCAAAACAAATTAAGTCTCACTGATCCTCCAGACACTATGTATTTGCTTAATGAATTTTCTGAAAGTAACACAAACCTTGAGATTTTCAGTGACATCTGAAATATTCCTTCTCTCTGTCATGTGGTAAAACAACTCTAAGTATTCCAGTCCTTTGAGAAGTGCAGGGACACTTCTTTCATGTCGGAGGTATCGAGTCAGGTCAAGGGCTTTGTCTAATGTCAACCTTCCTGCACTGAAGTATAAACATATGTCAGAGGCTTGTATTTAACTTACATTTTTAATTTTATTATTACTGAAATATAAAAACTTTATTAATATTGAAATTAATATTGAAGTAATAACAAGAACATTTCATTATTTCCAGATCAATTGGTTCAAATCCTTGTTCTACCACTGACTGGCTGTGTGATCTCAGAAAAATCACCTCACCTCTCTGGGCCTCAGTTGTTTCTGTTATGTAATTGGGAGAGTAATAGTATCTTTTATTGCTCTAAAACTTAAATGAATTAATGAAAGTGAAGCACAGTAAGAGATATATAAATGAAATGTGAGCTGATGCATTTAGTACCAAATAAAAGTAAAATTTTCATAAATTTCCTTTTCTAATTGTTTCACTTGTGGGTTTGAATTAGTTCTCCAAGTGAATTGGAACTTATGGACAGGTACCATGATATTTCTTTTTTGATATCACTCCTGGAGCCAAAAGGGAAGCAGCTGTTATTGTTGAAAAGACAAAATAAGTATTTCCCTCTTATTTAGAGTTAAAATTATATTCCTTCTCTACATTTTCTCTGGATAAGAAAAATAAACAATAAGACTATTATTCAGAACAGCAAAGTGTTAGGGTCTTTTCTAGAGAGAAGAAAACCAATTGTACTGTTTTGTTAAGTGACTCTCAGGTCAGAGGTCCCCCAGTCCCACGGATACCTGAGCCATTCTTGTCAGCATCAAATTCCCAGGTGAAGTGTAATAGCTTAATATGGAAACAGATGCCAGAAGAAATGATGTATGTTGGTTGAAATTTTCATTAACATAATGTCATACATCCTCTGAGTTTTTTAAATGTTATAACATGATGGGGGTATACAAATATCTCAATTACAAATAAATAAAATGTCTTAATTTTTTTTCTTTAAAGAGACTGAAATTAGAAAGAAGTGAAAGATTAAAAAAATCAATTTATGTTGTGAATTTATGCTTCTTGGTTACAATGCCATACTACTCTAAAATGGACTTACAGAAAAATTTTCAAAAATTTCATATGAATACAAAGGATAGAACCACATGAAATATGATTCCATAGCCTGTTATATTTTAAGGAATAGGTCCAAAACATGTGATTATTCCTTCCCGCCTGGATTATGTATATAATATGGTACAGTTGATACATTAGAGTATCAGTAACACAAGAAATTGTATATATTTGTGGTTCACAATATAAAATATTTTAACACACAAAATTCAGGTTAATCTTGTTTTTCTTTTGGCCCAGCCTAATTTATTTCATGCTAAAACCAATGCTTTTATTAGAAACCTTTGTAATTGTCAACTTGGAAAAAATTTAATCATAATATTCATTTTAAAAGAGGACTTTTCTTTTTACATACAATAGCTATTGCTTAAAATATAGCTTCTCACCACTGTCTCTATGCGTCAATCAATGCACCAAAAATTACGTGAATGTTTGTTTAAAGATTAAACACATGTATAAACGTACACTTCAGCCCCAAAAGAGAAATCTTATCTACTTATTTGTATACAGTTTCAGCTAAGTGGCATTTTTGTGAAGAATCAATAAAAAAGAAGCCATATTCCTAAGGAACCAACTTAAATGTGGTACTAACTAAAGAGTTACTAAAGAAAACAAACTATTTTTCTGTAACAAAATTAAACTTACCATTTTAATTCTGTTGAACTCAGATGAATTCTAAATCTTAAATTATATTTAAAAAGTATGAAACCCCAATTAAATAAATATCTATCCCTGGGTCAAATTTTGTTTTCAAACCATAGGTGATCACTGATTTCTTCCTCTAACTCTCAAGTAGATATTTCATAGAGTTGGGAGGAAAGAAGCATGTGTTATGTAAGAAATGTAGCAGGTAAACATATTTAAGTCTAATATGAGAGTTACAAATTGTTTCTTTATGCAATTACTTTTAATGTAAAACTAATATAAACAAATTACAAAACAATTGGAAATCAGAGAAAAGTGGGGAAAGAATCATTATTTCACTACTCTGCATATTTACTGATAGCACTTGGAATATATCTGTCTGCTCCCCCCCCCATAACTTTTTTTTTCACTGTAATTGCAAACATAACAAACAGTCACATTCTGCATTTTTGTAATTTCTCACTATTTGAAATGCAGTTTTCTGTGTTGTCATCTCATCTTCCTACTCAATTCTTGACTTTGAAGACAATGTTTATTATGTGATACTAGTAACACAGTTGAAATGTATGGCGAGGTACAATACTTAGTGCTTATCTGCATTATTTTAGCAATTCTCAAAACAACCCTGTATAATACATATTATTGTTACTGGAATTTAAAAGAGTTTTAAAAACTCTCTTAAAAAAGCTAATAGTTGAAGGGGTACTATTAGTACCCCTTCAACTATTAGCTTTAATAGTACCCCTTCAACTATTAGCTTTTTTAAGAGAGTTTTACTATTAGTACCCCTTCAACTATTAGCTTTAATAGTACCCCTTCAACTATTAGCTTTTTTAAGAGAGTTTTTAAAACTCTTTTAAATTCCAGTAACAATAATATGTATTATATTAGATTCATTAACCTGTGCACAGTAAAGAAAAGATTATTGTTTTTTTCACTGATGCATCAATAATCATAAGGTTTCTTTCATTTAATTATAGGTTACCCATAAATTAATAAGCTAGAAATAGGAAAACAAAAACAAAAGTAGATAGCCCCTACTTTTTAAAGATTGACATATGCCACTTCACTTAATGAAAGACCTAGATTAGTGCCTTATTTTAGCAACTGAAAGAAAGCTGAGAGGATTTTCTTTTTCTCTTACAACAAAAGCCAAACTGTGTCTTGTAGCAGTTACTATAGAGGCTGTGTGTACCTGGAGCAGTGAGAGTACTAAGCTCCTTCCTCAGAACTACTTTATATGGTTTGTACATTTATCATTCCTGTTTTAAATGTATGTTAGTGTTATCTTAGATTCTATGTGTTATTTGATATGAGTTATATGCTATCTTAGGGGCCTGGGGACTATAAAATAATTCCAGGCCCTCCTTCGGGTTGCAGGGCTTAAAGTATCAGCACTATGACAGGAGTTCAATCCCTGGCCAGGGAGCTAACCCACATAGTGCAACAGACCTCTCCTGCCTCGCCTGCTGCTCCCCTAAGCAGTGTATTTCAGGAGACCTGCTTGTTCTACTCCCGCTCTGTCTCTGGTAAATCCTCTTTTTCATACACACACCCTAACCCCCACCTCTGGCCTACACCCAGTTCTTGTATTAACCAAAAAAAAAAAAAAGGGGGGGGGAACCTTTCTTTAAAAACTTTCATGTAAGTGAATAGCAATTGCTTTTTCACTTTGCAATATTTCTACTCACAAAAGTTTTCACAGGAACACTCTACTTTTGGATAGTGAGGAGAACCTGAAACTGGTTGTCATTTGCTGAATTGTTGGTATTTTTCATTCTTCCTCGTCTTTTATTTTACTTACTCTGTAATCTATTTAGAGTTTCTCCTTTAAGCAGACCAACCTCCACCAACTAACAATACCCCACTTCTCTAGTCTGTCCTGCACCACTTTGCAGAGAAGAATATTGTTCCTAATCCTGGTCTCCAATGTGCTTTGCTACCATGAGTTCTAAGACCCGTAAGCTGAGGATTAAAATCTCACTCCTCATTCTTTTCTAATAAGGAAATTCTGTGTTATGGAGTAGCTTTGTGTAAGAGATGTCCTGCGACTTACTTTCACTCATGAAATAAGCATCTAATAGGAAATACATATCACAGTGAATAAAAATAAGTACATGTAGTAATTCTCAGAACAGAAAATCTTACAATATACAATATCCAACCTTAACCCCAATTCCACCCCTCCCCCCCCCACTGATTTATTCTGCATTATTTTCTGTAGATAACATTTTGTCTCCCAGGAAAGGCTAAAGGAGAACAAAAATAAACAGTCAATTGTTTTTTTCATTTTCTATCCATTTCATATTGATTTCTCATGTAAGCAAATAGTGAATGTGTTATGCACTAGGCTACTGTCTCCTTGAAAGTGAAAATGTTAAAATTGTATTTATATTTTTTGTTTGACAGATTACATAGGTTTTTGGTAAAATAGCAAGCTACTAGCATAAAAAAATTTAAATCTGAGGTCAAATTTAAATGACTAGGGAGTCTACCTTAAGTAAGTGAAATAGGTCACTTTTGGGATGTGGGTACCAGGAAGAAAGCAGGTCTGGCTCAAGCTAATCGCCCCCCTTCTCTTGTTTCCCTATGGAAAAGAGGACTCAAAATTTCCAAATCTTTTCAAGTTTAGAGAGAACCCAGAAATTAGAATTTTTACATAAAATTTTATGCTTTTAAAAGATTGGATTAAATTTTAAAACACTACATGGTTCAAAATGCCATATCCATGGATACACTTTGACCTAGTGACCAGTATTTAACCTCCACTCGATCCCTATTATATGAATGATCAACACAGAAGATTTGATTTTGAAATCTGCATATCTTGTTATGGATTAGTTATTTCCTAATGAAATCATATTAAATTTTGTATTACCTTACTAGCTGAAATGCATCATGAATCAGACCTATTCTGTCCTTTGGTCTGAAAAGTGTATGGTTCTGATTCATCTGTATAATGAGCTGGTCCCATCCATGCCCCTCGTAGTGAACAATGTAGTAGCCATTTGCATCCACATTGAATTTCACCCAACTGGTCTTTTCAGGTAAATCCAGAATATCTAAGAGGAGAAAGTTGACATAGGCATTTCATTATCAGCAGACATGCCAGGAACATCTACCAAACCATTAATTTCTAAAATATTACTTATAAATCAGTGGGCAGGAAAAGCTTTGGAAGAGATATGATATTCATTTAATAGTTCACTAGTTGGCTTCTTCGGGGAAGGACAATTTCATTAAATTAACGAATAAACAAGCTAATAGGAAAGAACAGCTGAATTTTTTCTCAAAAGCTGGCAAGTTCAATAAGCCAGATGATGAGCATGACCTGACTTACTGTTGGCTCACAGTTGAGTTATTGCATACCAAAATATGTGTATGGAAATGACTGACCCATTTATCCAGTATTTATTTTGGATGAAATTAAGGACTATAGGGAGAACGTGACATTCTAATGAAAAAACTCAAAATTTATCAAAATTTAGGGAAGTGTTTAGAGGAGAAATAGATGATAGAATGAGGATATAAATCAATACCACGGTGTATGCTGTTTCACTATACATTTTTCCTTCTAGCATAGGAGCTGGACTGTAAGTATTAAAAGACATAAGATAGTATGCCATCATTTCTCTATATACATACAGACCTATCTCTAAATGCTAGAAGCACAAGAGAAATTCCCACTGAATGAAACATTCAGGTTTTCTAGCTGTAGGATTCTTTTAGTAGTTATGTATGGATAAAACTTACCCAAATCTTTTAATTATTACATCATTATAATCTTTTATTATTAGACTGATTGATACCATCTTTCCTCCAAGTAGTTCAGAACATGTTTAAATTTCAACACTGAAAAACACCTGTTTGGCTAATTAGAGCATTACCTGTCTTTGATTTAAGAACGTGTCTGTGAATCTCATCAGAGGCACTAGTGGTGTAGGTCAGTGGGATGTGCCAAAGATAACTGTGTTAGGAAGAAAGGACGTTACAGATTAAATGAACATTTAAATTTCACAATGTCAGACATAGCCTTCTAAATTTTATAGGCTTAGGCTAGCAGATTATTGGGTATGCAGAATTCTTCCATGATTATGATGAAGGTCTGGTGATATTTACCTAGTTGAATTGTCACAATTACTTGGGCCATCTGGTTTCCAAATCTCATACCATAACAAATTCTGCCTTTTCTTCCAAGTAAAATAAAATAAAATAAAAACCTATAATTTTTCCTTCACTTTTCCAAAAACTGACAGATTGATGCTCATTCAAATAACAAAACCAAAATTGTGGGGAAAACCTTAATAGAAAAAGCTCTTACTTCAGTATAATTTCCCACTTGCCCTTTTGTTCAATAACACAACCCACATCCAACATCCCCTCCCCAAGTGTGAATGACTAGGAGTCTGCAGTCAGCAATACTACAGACTGACTGGGATCTATCTGCAGGTTGGCCATGTTCAGGGAACAGAAAGCAGAATGGAGTGGAGGAAATGGTCTCGATCACTTTTCAATGGTCCTATTATAGTAGACAGAAAATGGCTATTTTATTCTAATTTCCTAGTAGTTTCTAGAATTCGATTCATTTCTTCTATTACATCAGTCCACATTAGCTGTAGTAAGCCTGCACAAGTAAAATCATGCACCTGATAACACAAACAGGTCCATATCTAGGAAGTGTTATGACAGCTAAACATCTTATCACAAGAGAAAAGATATTCCCTGTCTGATAAATTTGATGCTAAGCCCTCCTGTTGCCTTTTGTTATTCAGTAATAGACTAACATGTAATGTTTTCAAACACGATGTTCTTTGTAATAATGAAAACAAAGCCACTATCAATAAGATAACTGAGGCTAATTTAAATTGTAATAATACAAGAATGTCATATTGAAAAAAGCCAGGGTAAATTATGGAAGAAGTATAACCCTCTGTATCAGCACCAGGGCTCAAAGGCAGCAGCAGAGCAGCAGAATTACTAAAAATAGGATTGCTGAACAAAGCCATCTGTGCCTCCTGAAACTTTTCAAATCTGTTGAAGACTTAGCTTAGATCAAGATTAGTGCAGGCCTTATATTTCCATGTAGAAATGGCACCCACCAAGTTGCCAGAGAACTTGAAATAAAGTTAGGGAAATGACGATCAAATTGAGAGGCAAGAAGTGAACAAGAGAAGAAAACTTGTCACCTTTCCTGCAGGGCCCCCCATTCAGGATCCTCTTTGAAAACCCCCTTCAGGAAGCGCTCCTGTTGTATGTGAAGCAAACTGCCTTCTTGTTTAATCACCACCATGGGGATTCCTTTCTGGAGAGTCCAGGTAGTCATCATCTCTTTGACGTCCACCTGTTCTCTTAGAAAACCGAGCTGAAATCACAAGTGGCAGAAGAGAGAAATCAGACAGCTGAAACTTTGAACTTAGGTGCTAGGATGAAGGCTTGGGGAGTCAAAAAGGAGACTTCAGGTTGGAATCTCAGAGCTGAGCAGTGAAGGACAGATGAGGCTGCCACCCCAGGACTGCTCTCATCCAGGCACCTGAAGGAGGGCTAGGTGTGAAGCATGAGGTTTAGCACAAGGCATTAACCCAACAAGGAGGACTTGACTAGATCCCTAAAACAAAGAAAAAAAAACCTCTCCATTTTAATAACTGTGGAATTCTGGAGACTGATTGAGGAGGCACATGTCTTTTGGGAAGCTTTAGATATTTGAGCAGAACAATATTATCTTTAGAGGTACACTGGCTGGAGAACAAAACCTCTGGCTTCCTAATTTAGAGTTTGGATTTCTAGTCAGTGGGTGGGGCTGAATATTCCTTAAAAAGCCACAACTTATGACTTCTAAGTTTGTCTTTTTCTTTTCATGATTTTTCCCCTTCCCCTATAGCGCTTCAATAATATTCCAGAGGTCAACAAAAAGACAAAACCTTAAGAAAACCATTCACTCTCTTTCCAAACCTAACAACATATTTGAGTTGGCATTTTCAAGCCTAGAGAATGCCAAACACAGCAGGAACCACTCAGAAGAATTTTGAGCTGAGATATTTTTAGCGGGCATTGGGGCTGTGGGAAAGCTGAGTTATAGCAATAAAAATATAATAGTAACAACATCATCCACGAATGGCCCTAACCTTCTTTAGGCAGCTCGGTTTCAAGGAATATTGTGGAATCCCTCATCCTCTCCAGTTATTTAAAGGGACAGCTGGGCTTCTCTGCATGCCACACTTCCATGGCATGATGGCATGCCTCAGCTCCTTTACTCTGTGAGTCTTTATACTTACTGTGTTGCTTGTTGTCTTGGAATCAGAATAACAAAATCCACCAGATGCCAAATCACCTTCTAAACAACTCTGCATAAACAAGAATAAAAGCACACTGCCTTTAGACACTGATAGTTGGCTGAATATGTGTATTACACTTAAGTGCAGCCATTAATTAGCGTGCCTATATGAAAATTTAATACCTTTGGATATGGTAACAAGCATAGCAATTTAAGAAAATAGAAGGCATCGTCCCAGTGAGCCTAGGAATTAACCCAAAGTTATTCATAGAGTAACCCTATTTCCTAGGGTCATTGGGAAAATATCTTTCCATTTTCATGAATTCTCTGATCAGAACCAGATTGAGATGAATAAACTTATAATCAAATAATATTTACACTTTCTAAAGAAATGGAATAGCTGCCTTAGGGATTTAATTTGTTGAATTCTCCCTTTTCCCCTAGAAAATGTTCTATTCTTTTTTTATTGCTCATGTTACTTATGCCCCTATTAGCATGTAGACAATGCTGTCTCCTACTAACCTTCCCTAACATAACACAAACTTCTTGACAGAGGGGGCAACACCTTCCTTGGGTATTCTCAATGACTACCACAGTAGCATAGAGAAAGCAAACAATACATCTTGAAATGAATGGGATTGAAATGGACCTAAGTTAATCCACAAATTGGCAACTGACCTTTGAATAATCAGGAGCTAATGCTCTAACTATAAAAGAAAAATATGACATATATACTCACTAAGGCTCCCTAATGCTGTTATGTGATATGAAAAATAACAAATAATTCTTCTGGTTCTCATATTGCTATTGACATGTCTTAAAATTAATGTTCTGTGGCACAATGTTAAGATCTTTAATACCATAGTTTTTATACCATAGTTTCAGTTAGCATCAGGGGTAATTTAGGATCTATAAGAGAAGTTTAGATAGGAGATTTTACTGATAAATAGGAGAGAAACTGTGATGCAACCAAAGAAATAAATACTGGACTTAGAATCAGAACACAGGTTTTAAGTACTGACTCTACATTTATTTAGTATGTGACTCTGGGTAAATTTCTGACTATGTGACTCTTCATAATGTATTTGTTTTCTCATTTGTAAAAAAAAAATGGTATAAGAATGCCTGCCATATGGTTATAAACATCATATGATTAAGACTAAAATTCACAGTTGGTCTTAACTAATCCTATAGTCCCTGTTCACCCCAGCAGAGGTCTTGTGATCTACCACATCAGTGCCTACCCAGACAGTGAAAGCTTGGACCTACATAGGGAGGTTGTCAGAAGGGCGAGAGACCTAGCAACTTTCCACAAGAGGCTGCCAGTGCACACCCAGACTGGCAGACACTTCCTGACTTTAGGTGAGAAACTACCAGTGCCTGCTCGTACCGGTGAGACCTTGGACCCATGTTGCAGAGGGTGACAAGACACCAGTGGCTCCTACCCAGGGCAGCAGAGACTTAGAGGATTTCTATGGGACCCCACAAATGCTTGCCCAGACCTACAAAGGCCTTGTTACCTCCCATAAGACCCCCACCGGCAACCACACAGATGGCTGAAGCCATCTATAAGGAGGAAGTAAACTAGCTAGATCTAGAAAGATGGATAAAATTTGAATTTCTGCAAAGGTGAAAGAGCACTTCAGATAACAAAGACTCTAGAAACAAAGATATGGTAAAACAGGGATAGAGCTGGATTTCTTTCTATGGGGAACAAGACGTGTTTCACTAAGCAGAAAATAATGATGGAAAATTGAGCCAGTAGCATTCAACCTCAAAATCTGGACAGAGATGACTAGGTATCATATGGTAAAATTACAAAGTCATTAAAGATTTTGGCAAAAGGGCAGATAATAGTGTGGAGTTAACTATAGAAGGGGAACTGAAAAAAAGAGACCAAATATCTACCTCTCTGTGGCTAATGTAGATATCCTGGTTTTGTGTGGCACCTGGGGACAAAAGAAAGTGCTGCTTTCTAGGAATCCTGACGATGTGGAAGAGGAGTAAGTATCAGTTGACTGACTGTGATTCTTCATACCTGGTCTGTGACATTTTAGGCTTAACAGCAGTCTACTGAACATAGTGTATGACTTACCTTTGACAGACTGCTCCACAAATCATTGGTCTTAGCATTTCTATAGCTGAACCTCTTTAAGTAGTGAGTAATTCCTTTCTGAAACTTCTGCTCAGTCAGAAAATCCTTGAGCATATTCAAAATACAAGCTCCCTTAAAAAAAAATACACACAAAAGAAAATAAGGAAAACATAGTATGATGTGATTTTAAAGAAAGAAAGCTTAAATTTTATATAACGTGTAATGTGTGAAAAATGAACAGCAAATAAAACAACAAGGAAATAAGCAGCAACCCAGAAACAACATCTTCAACTGCTGACTTTGCAGTTCTCATTTTATTTCTCCTGAAATAGATCTTCCCTTAGTTATAGCATTCACTACCTTGTTATAGGAAACAGTATCAAACATTTCCTGTATTTGAGTAGGAGTTTCTGCTTGATTGGAGACAGGACGGGATGAGTTTAGCGAATCTCTTTTAATTACTTCAAAACACACATCCAAAAAATAGTCATCCTAAAGCGGAAAGAAATTTTTTTTCAATTCAATTTGACACCTTTAAAGCCATAGAAAACATGCTGGTTTAGTAAGATATTCTTAGAAGTAAATATTCAGTCAATATGCTTTTTTTTTTTTTTAAAGATTTACTTATTTATGCCTACAGAACTGGGGTATAGACCAGAGGTGCAGAGGAGTCACCAGAGACAGAGTGGGGAGCAGAACAGGCAGATCAATGAAGTACACTGCTGAAGCGAGCAGCAGACAAGGCAGGAAATATCTGCTGTGCCATGTGGATCACCTCCCTGGACCTCCCTGGGCAGGAATAGAACTCATGGTGAAGTGGCTGTAGCTATCTTCACAGTGCTGTGCTTTGACCCATTGAACTACCAGGGAGGACTCTCAATCAATTTTCTTGCATGATATTTCCTCTCCTTTATATATTCCCCTTACATTATCCTCTACTTCATAAAATTTTGAATCCACATTACCTTGGAATATTTGCCATGAACAGTTCTTTACAGAGATAAACTATTAATGGTTCCCATCTAGTGAACACTTGGTGTGTGTCTTATGTTCATCACCCCTAATCGTTCAACACCATTCCAAGGAGCTACATAATCCATTTTACAAGTGAGAATATGTGAAGCTATAAATAAACATAGATTCAGCATGTAGCAAATAGAAAATACTGGCTTTGCGTCCATGTCTGTTTATACTGTTTTGGCTATACGTTTACCCCCAAAACTTAATTAACCTTTGTTAACCACTTTGATATATGATTTTACTTATTAGAAAAGACAAGTTTGATGAAACCTTATGCATATTTTGGGAATATAACAAGCCCTCTGGAAATGGCGAAAGAGTGAACTTGAGATAACGCTCAGTGGAAGTTAAATGCCAAGAACTCTGCATGGATCTATAATCAGGAGCATTTACCTTGTCTAATGCCATGTAGGCATGTTATAGATGCAGATAACTATGTAGAGAAGGCACTGTTCTTTGCTTTCACCCCATATACACAGCTATATATGTGTACTATTTGAACTTTCTGTCCACCAGTTATTGGATGATAGATTTATGTTTACTGCTCTCTAAAAGACCCAATGTTTTATTTAATTCTATAATCTGTGTTGTAGACTAAATATATGTCTGCACACCTCTAGTTCACATTCGAATCTGAGGTACTTAACTCCCAGTACCTCTCAGCACGGGGCAGTTTTGGGAGACAAGCCCTGTAAAGAGGGAAGTGCATTAAAATGAATGTATTAGAGTTGGCCCTAACCCAACCTGACTTATTAGAAGAGGAAATTTGGACTTTTAGAAGACACTGGGGGTGTACGGAGGAGACACTGGGGATGTACAGACACAAAGACCATGTGAGGACACAGCCACCATCTGTTAGCTAAGGAATAAAATCTCAGGAAAAAGCAAACCTCCCAACATTTTGATTTTGGATTTCCAGCTTCCAGAACTGTAAGAAAAAAACAAATTTCCTTTGTTTAAGTCCCTGAATCTTCAGTGCTTTGTCAAGGCAGCTCTGACAATTTTAATACAAGAAGATATCTTATATACCAAACAAAACACCACATTATATTGTTTTCTCTTTTAACATTCACTGAAAACTGTAATAGGAAATTGATGATTCCTTAGGACTTACACTATGCAATATAAAAACTGTGAACTTACAATTTGTAGCTCTGGATATGTAGCATTAACAGAGATACTTTCCATGTAGTTTGCAAAACCCTCGTTGAGCCAAAGATCATTCCACCATTCCATTGTAACCAGGTTGCCAAACCACTGGAAGGTAAACATTCAAAGTTATTAGAAGTTAAATATACATACATACATAACACCCACACCCACCCTCACCCCCACACCCACCCCCACACCCACACACACACAAAGGAGGGCAGGACTGGTGAGTTCGATACCTGGCCAGGGAGCTTACCCATGTGTATCCCTCAGCAATGTATTTCAGTGGATCCACCTGTTCTGCTCTCCACTCTCTGGTGAACCCTCTCAGCCCTCAACCCCACCTACCCTATAACTCTGGCCTACACCCCAGTTGTTCTATGCATAAATAATAAATAATTTTTTAAAAGACACAAAGGACAGCACAACATGGTGTGTTTAGTAAATGGCAGTCTGGCTTGACTAAAGCTTAGGGTGTTAGTAAGAGATAAGAGAAGGCCTGGGTCATGTGGGACTTATACGCCAACCTATGAACTCTGACATTCACTGAGTTGACCTTGGACACCTTTGCCAGGGTTTTACACAAAAGAGTGATATACTTATATGGAGACCAATGTAAAATAGTCAAGGCAAAATTCCAAAGTTCCCTGGAACTTGGGAACTTTAGCCCTAGACTGAATATTCATGAAAGAAAAGCTATTAATAGAAGACCCAGAGGGAGCAGGGATCATCAGAGGCACATTTCTCCTGACATTTCCCTACAAACACTGGGTAGAAAGATTATGAATTCCAAGATTCTAAGAGTTCTAGAGTTCCAGTGACTGATGATCAGCCCCCTAAAATGGACCAGTGGGGAGATTCTAAACAGAGGAAGCTGCCCGTTGTTCTCGAAGTATAGTCCTAACTATGGCTCTAATGTAATTGGGTGCTTAGGTCAGTGCTTTTTTCTTTTTTTTAAAGGAAGTAATTAATATGGCAATGATAAAGTTAAAAGTTAAAAAATAAGAGTTTTTTTTTTTAACCAGTTTCTATGATGGAACATTATTTTCCCACAAAGTGATGGAAAATTTCCAGTGCCTTTAATAATTCAGAGCATTACTAGGAATTTTCAGAAATGAAGTAGAAAGAATAGACTCAGATATCTATAGAGCTAGTTTCATATTTGTATGTAACACAGTGCTGAAGGGTCTTAGAAATCTTCTGCAGAAATGGTAGCAGTAGTGATGTCATCATTAATAACTAACACATATGAGTACCTTCTATATGACAGGCACAAACACTATTTGTAATCCTCACAACAGTTTTTAGAAACAGAAGCTATTGTTAATGTAAATTTTACAGAGGAGGACACTAAGGTTTAGAGAGATTATGTTTGCAGGGTCAACATCCTATGACTACTGGATCTTGAAATTCTTCATAATGTCCATTTACTCACACATTCTAATTGAAGGGAGGTTAATTTTTCCCTGGACTTTAGTCCTAGGAGGAATAAGGAAATAATTTTAATGGAAATTTCTATTTGGGCTTCCAATTCTGGACTTATATATACCTACATAGTAATAATCCATCCTTCTTTGCTAAAATAAAAATTTGAAGGCTTTGCTCTAAAGACTTTTAAAGGATAAAGTGGCAACTTCTATTATGATAAAATTCTCTTCTAGTAAAATGTCATATAGTCTAGAGATTGAGCCCTCTGCTATTTGATATCTTGTATTTGGTTTGCTAATCCCTAAAGTTCCATCTAAAGTGAAATAAATAGATTGTTTTATGAAGATTAGTGGTACCAGACAATGTTCTCTCAGACTGATACTAAAAGAATGCCGTAGGTCTCAGTTACCTGGTGTGCTAGTTCATGGGCTATGACTCTGGTCACCCACAGCTTATCAGAAACAGAAGAGGTTTGGGGATCAAAGAGCAGTGATGTCTCTCGATATGTGATGAGCCCCCAATTTTCCATGGCTCCAGATCCAAAGTCAGGAATGGCAATTAGATCTATGAAAAGGAACAATGACACTTGATTTTAGGACATCCATGCCAGGCATGGGTCTTGTCTCCTCCTTAAATATCTTCCCGTATATGTAAGCAGACTTTCCAAAAACATCAAGAATATCTTAACATTGGCATGATATTTTGTGGCTGTATTGAATAATCAATACCCATTACCAAATAGAATAAATTCTATAAGATAGTTGTGGTTGAGGGGAAGTAACCTATAGACATTCAATCTTTTTAACATTTCAAATGTGGGAATGACTCCTTTCTAAATTGCATTGATGGCCTTAGGCTAGCAGCCCATACCACTAGAGGAACTTGTTTTTATTCTAGTTTTTTTCTTTAAGTTAATTTTTCTCTTCTTAATTTTCAAATACAGTTCATATGATCCTCAAGGTTGCATTTTTCATGAGCAATATAGTATGGTTGTTAGCTGTTGGTTGATTTTTTCTTGACATAGTGAAAAGCAGAAGATTATGTGTAAAAGGAATTAGTAAATGTGTACTAAAGGGTTTATAGAACCTGCACTATAGCATAACAGTAAGACTCAGGAACTGTAAGAATAAGTCCCTTAGAGATGTCTTTTGATGGCCCTTTTTAACTTCTCTAAGAAAAGCTATATGTAAGTTAGAAGGAAAGGAGAGAAAGGATATAATCAGGAGTATGTCTTCAAGTCCAAAAGGGAAAACAGGTTTTACATTGTCAAAAAACTCTCAAAACTAATCTATATAAATTATGAAGTTTCTCATGCTTTTAATATGTTCTAAAAAATCACAACTTTTATGTTTTGAGATATAAAATTAAAACCATCATAAACTCTTTGTATCTTCTTTTTTAAAGATCTACTACTACCATATTCATGTTATCTATTTTCTACAAAAATACTTAGAATCTTATATTCTCTGGTTTAATTTCAAACCTCAATGCACTCTTCATAACAGATGAAGGGATAATTTTCAGCAGTTTAGATACTTCTTTGTTATATATACTTCTATAAAAGATTGCTGGTCTATACAAATGTGGTATGGGGGGGAAGTGTGCTCCAGAGAACACATCCAATTAAATCTAATAGGCAATGTTACTATTTTAATATCAATCTGTTAAAAGAATAGAAAAACAATTTCACTATTCAGGTTTAATATAAATACTCTATTTTCTACACTTAAGATTATTCTGGGATATAAATGATTGTTTCCTGGGCTTACCTTTTCAATGTTCATTTAAATCCCATATAAAGATGAAAGAAATCAAAGCAAGTAAAAATAAAGGAAATGATGTAGAATTTGAACTTACCTAGCTTGGGGAGTGCATAGTTGATATCAAAATACTTTTCATAAAAGTCAAGTAGCTTCAGTGATGCTTCCAATGCATAGTGCATTTGATTCCATTTGTCTGGGGATGCATAGATGGACACCTGAGAAATATTGATCAGAAATGGTCTTGAGTGACAGCTCCTTGGCATAATGCTATTTCTAACAACCTTATCCAAGAAAGGCAGATGGCATCTTTCAAGAAATTATTTGATACCATTAAGCATAGGTTACAAAGTATTAAAAAGCAAAAGTGAGTTTGGAAAATTACAACTGACCCCTCCACTGTCTATTAAAATTTATTGCCTAGGTGTTAATTGGTAAATTCCCAATTATATGAACTCATTGTAACAGGCAAGCCCTTGAATCCATCATTGTTATATCCTAATTCTTGAGAACTATCCTCCCAAAAGCATGACCACCAACGCAAATTCAAATATAATGTAGGTCTATGATGTGGAGAACCTGGAAGAATTTATTGAATTATACACATCTAGTTCATTTAAATTCAAAAATGTCTAACTATATTCAATGTCCCCCCTTTAACCCAAATAAGTAGTGACTATATGGGGAAAAAACAATCTGATGCTAAATTTCTTGCTTCAAGTATTTTCATTTCATGATCCATTGTCTTGCTCTGAATTAACTAAAAAGCCATAGAACATATAAAAGAAGAATGCATATTTCAGTGGTTTATCAGGTACTGTGCTAAATGCTTACATGGAAAGTCTAATTTAATCCTCTCACCAACCCTATGAAGTAAGTGTTACCATTTTCATTTTAGACTTGAAACAACAGAAACACACTGAAATCAAGTAACTTTCTCTAAATCACTCATGTATAGTTATGGACTTATACTAGGCACATAAATAGCTAAGTACAAGGTTCAAGTTTTATGGAGTGCAAAGCTCCTAATACATTTATTATGCAAAGCCCCTAATGTATGTATGTATGTATGTATGTGTGTATGTGTGTGTGTGTGTGTGCATATCCATAGGGATATCTCAATTCTCTAGATCCTGAAATGCCAGCAGCTATTTTAGAACTATTTTTACAAGCATTATTTTATAGTTCTTTGAATATGATTTTATGTCTATCATTGGTTCCTCAGGGGATGGAATTCTTTTTTATTTTCAGTGTTTCCACTGACATTTAAAAAATCTTATAATTTTTGAGTGACATTTGCAAACAATGAAAACTCTAAAATTATGAAGATCTGTCATTGAGAAAAATATTATACAGAACAAATTGGAAATATTAAGAATAGCTTAAATAAGATGCTAATTAAAAAATCCTTATGGGTACTTCTATGTAATATAGTATTATGCACTTATAAAATAGTGACATAATATGATGAAAATTGAGCAAAACATATATACATGTAGTACTTATATTGTTATTGTATACAGCCTCACATATTGACACATATAGAGAATATATTTGGAAAGTTTACACTAGTATCAGAAACTATAACTTGGTGATTATTTTATTTTTTAACCTATCTATTTTCTAAATAAGCATGATGCTCTGATAATAAGGGGAAAAATGAGAAGAAAAACAGCTGATTATCCTTTTCTGCATGTTTGAAATTAGAACTCACCTTAACCCCTGATGAGGTTGTACCACTCACAGAATTGAAATCACAAACTATGTAGGCTACAAGGTATGTACTCATCTTCACAGAAGTTTCAAAATGATCTTCCAAGAGGCCTCCTTCAAGTTCAATTGTCTTAACCTATGTACAAGAAGGGTAAGAGTCAGTATTTAAAAACTGGAGTAGTTCACCACTACACCAATGATTTAAGATAGATATATTAGAGGAAAATCTGGCACTCCCAGGAGACTTAATGCTCTAATAAGAGATGAATGACCTCTCACACATTCTATGGCCTCTTCTCCCTTTATTTTGTCCCTGAACATCCTCAAAAACACAATGCAGTGCTTTGGAGATCCCAAAATAGTAAATCATATTTTGTCACTTGAAAGTGTAAAAACATCTTGGATGTTTCTTCTTTCTTGGAAAGCAGTAATTTCTAACACTGGCATAAATTCAATTTCCATGTTTCTAAGTGAAAGTTCAAGAGAAGGACCCCTTTCCCTTTGTTATATGATAAACAGGAATCCCTATTGCAGAAGTAAACAAGAAACAACCCACTGCTAGATGCTATGTGTTATATTTAATCCTCTTATTATTTGTGTGTGAGGTAGGTGTTATTTCACAGGTAAGGAAACAGACTCTCAGTAATGCTAACTCAATTGCCCCAAGTCACACGGCTAGTTCCATGGCAGAACTGTGATGGGATGTGAGCATGTGACTGCAAGGCTCAGCTCATTCCTCACATACTGTGTGACTGCTTGAGTCATAGTCTTATTTTATCTTTGCTTCATTGATTCAGCGGTGAAAGCAGCTGGGCCAAGGAGGTCATTAGTAATCTAAGCTTCTCCTGTCTACTGAGGAAGCAAAAAGCTTAAAACCTACAGACTGGTCAGTTACAGACATCAAATTCACTGAGCACTGAGTTGTGCTCTTATTTACTCTGGATAGTTCGTCCTGTGGGTGGTAACCATGGTACAACAGCCTTATTACCAAACATATCCCTAGCCAATATTTTGAAAAACTTTCTTCACATTGGTAACAATTCTTAGACTAGATCATTCCCCCTACCTTGTCACCCCTTACCTGTCCTGACACCTTTCAGGGCCTCGGCTTGTGACAGTGCTAACCAAGCTTATTGAGTGAGTTTTACGTGTTTGAAAAAGTTAGTTTGCTTCGGTGAGGGAAGACAGCTTGAAGCATGACCATACATTACTAAGACTACTTCAGTGACACATTTTTGTGCTATTAAATTCTACAGGATTAAATTAAATCAAATTTAAATTAGACAGAATTCTATTTTAAAAACCATTTCCTAAGTTCTGATAAAGCAGAAGATATGACTGAATACTCTAAGAAAGACAGCAGTAGACCTACTAGCAAATTACCTTTACTAGCAAATTACTTTCATCAACTGCAAAATCCTCTTTTTGTTTTTTTTATGAGTCTGATTCACAAAGTTACATGGGCACATATTCCAACAGAGGACAGGGTGTCTTGTTGTAAGTGCTGAGGAGAGATCATTGTGATTATTTTCTTCTAACCAAACTCAGCAACAAAACCATTTAGTCAGGAGTGTGGAGGGTGACAGGAGGAAGAAGCCATGGACTATGGGGACTCAACATCTATGGCACTAGACAACTGGTGGAGGAGTTGGCTGGGAGACAGATGGGAAATCCCTCTGTTTCTCCCCTCCCCCCGCCTCCTGTCCCCTGCCCAGATAAAGATGTAACTGATAGACACTATGCTTTGAATAGGGGTCTGGAGTGATCCACGTGGATTAACACTGCCTTAAATGGAAATGTATGGGGTGTTAGTGTATGTTCTTACAGGATGGTGATGCAAGCGTCCAGTACAAAACATATGTTGCAAGACAAAGACTTAACTGTTTTCTCAAGGCTGGCAGGACTGTCCTTGCATCACAAGTGTCATCCCAGCAGGTGTGAGTTCCCTTAAGGAGTCAAGGGAGCAAAGACATGCCGAGAAGGCAAGACTGTCTCTACCAGCACTTTGGTAGCTATTGCAATGCCCTTAAATGTTGCATTCTCAACTGTGTGTTGCTTCCTCCCACCAGTCCATAACCCATCTGATGTGATATGATTATTATCCAGGGACTAAAATTATGATTATAATTTTCCTCCAATGCTGCCTTTTTTGGCAAACCATGGAAACCTGGGTAGGATACGTCAATGTGAAGCCAGTATTTGCTGGAAAAAAAGTATGATCCAGAGGACTGTCATCAAGTCAATGCAAAGATTCAGGGATTGTATAAAAATTTCTGAAGTATTGACTTGCTTTTCCCTAAATATAGGGAGTTATTGGAGGTTTCTGAAAATAGAAATTTTCAATTCTAATACAAAAATGAAATGGTAATTTGTGTTTGCATTACATTTTAATTAAAAGGCTTTACTAAATATTCACATTATCCTCCAAGATTATAATATGAAAATTATATTAATAAAAAACTGCAAGGAAAGAAACTGAATTGCTTTAAATGCACATTTAATTAGGGGAAAAAACACTTGGAGTTAAGTCAGGAGATCATTTTTATCTGCAAACGAGAGGGCTAATAAAATTACTGTCTGTACAATCATGGAAAAATTGGCATATGTGTCACAAGGAGTGTTGTTCCTTTTTCCCTTGATCTGCTCTGTCTATATTTCAAAAAAATACCTTTTCCAGCATTAAGCATACATCTGGGGGAAATTCAGTGTCTATTATTTAGCTCAATTCCCCCTTTCCTCCATGGAGGGATCACTGCAGAAGCAGCGAGGACAATGGTGGAGGGCCACCTGCTGGCTTATGAAGATGGGGTGCCCTATCAGAAGAGCCTCTATTTTTGTCCTACTTTCCAAGCAGCAATGGGAAATATTTCACATTGTGCTCAACAGCACAAATGGCAAGTGCATCACTAGTGAAGGAATGTCAACTGAAACTCAAGGTCAGCCATGTCTGAGAATTTCTGCATTTTGAGTTACAAATCCAAGCCAATTAAGTGTTTCAAAGGTCTCTTTCAACTAAAAAAAAAATTATAGCCATAATAAATAATTTTAAGCAGCACCTGTGGAACTTAAAAAAGGATTTCTAAGTTCCATCATAGAGTCCTGATCAGTATTTCCTAGGGTGGGCACCAGACTGGGCCCTCAAGGAACTTTCCATTCCAAATGTGATCCCTGGGCTGGCAATAGGCAGAATTGTTAGCTCACACCAAGAACTACTGAATCAGAATGTGAATTTTAACAAGATCCTGGCTTGATTCATAGTGAGTGTTATAGTTTGAGAAGTATTGCTCTAGGTGATTCTGAATTTCATTGCTGACCAAGTAACTCTGACTTAAAAGAACACTGTTCCCATAAAAACAGACTTAAAATATAAGTCACATTCTTGTGTTACAAAGTCTCATGTTAAAAGCTAGATGGATGGGAATTATTATATATTAGATAGATGAATAAAACAAATTAATAGCTGACATCCTGAAAACAGAAGAAATATTAAAAAGTAACACAACATAGACCAAAGCTCAATTTAAAGGTGATTCTCCCAATTGGTAATACCTTTGGCATGTTGGATAGTGCAATGTGTCTGCTCTCTCTTCTTATCTTGATGGAAAAGTTGGCTTTGAACAATGGTTCATCAAAGCAAGGAAAAGCCATTCGTGCTTCCGTTGGCTCAAAATCCGTTACTGCGATTATTCTGTAAAAAGATGTAACCCCAACCCAAATCCCAGTCAGAATATACAAGCAAAACAAACCAAAACCAAAAAATGAACTTATACCTTTAGAAGATTACCTGTAAGTAACATATTTGATTGTTCAAACTTTAATCTTAGAGAATCAGACTCTTTATGGAAGTATAAAGGCAAAATTGTATTTTATAGCTGCCAAATATGAATAACTCAGAGGATGGCTCTCTTTTGAGTCCCTGCAGACAAAGATGATGAGGCTCAGGGAACTTGGTTATCTTACTAAGAGTCTTAGCCTGTAGATGAATAAGATAGGCATGCTAAGTCTATTTGATCTAAAAATTGACCAGGAAATTAATCATTCAGTACCATCTCTAAACTAGGGAAGAGGGTCCTAATCAGACATTCAAAAATGACACTTATGAATGATATTTTAGTTTGTGTCCCCAGGGAGCAGACCCTGATTGACCTAGAACATGTTGCCAAGAGAAACAGGTTGTGATTGAGGGAAGAAGAACAGGGAAAAGGGAGAATTCAGGCCAGGTGTCTCCTTCACCTTGATCCTTGGGAGTTCTGGACTGGAAACGACACCTTTAAGATTCCCCAACTAGGCCTTTCCTGGTGGCGCAGCTGGTTAAAGTGCAGCACTAAGAAGCTAAAGCCACTTCCTCATGAGTTCAATTCCCACCTGCCCTGGGGGTGATCCACATGGTGTGGCAGACCTCTCCTGACCCGCCCGCTGCTCCCCTCAGCAGTGTACTTCATCGATCTGCCTGTTCTGCTCCCCACTCTGTCTCTGGTGAAGCCTCTCACCGCCTGAGCCTCTGGCCTGTACCCCAGTTCTGTATGCACAAATAAATAAGTCTTTAAAAAAAAAAATAGATTTCCCAACTGGAGGCAAACTTCACTCTTACTTCTTCTGCACCATTGCCAACTGCTGGTTTTTGTGGAGGAACTTAGACCTAGTAGCTTTCTATTCTCTCCAAAGCCACTCCAGGCTTTATAATATGCACATAGATAGGTACGCTGGCAATTCTCTCTACCTCATTACTTGGATAATGCATGAAAATGTACAATTACTCATTTATTCTCTGGACTTAAAAACATCAATTAAGAAGTAAATTTGGAGAGCAGATTTTTGTTGGAGAAGAAAGGAAGAATAGAAAGGCTTAAGGGTCAGAAAAAGAGTGAAAAGGACCAAGAGAGACGGATTATCAAGAAATGTTTGCTCAGTTTTACTTTGTTTCTATAATATAGACTAGAAAAATGAGACTAAGGATCTAAATGACTTGCTGGTGGTGGTGGTGGTGGTGGGTGGGGGAGGTTGCTTGGGCCTGGTAGCAAGTTGCAAATATAAACAAATCCCAAGCATCTGGAATGACTTTGACTACTGTAAAACTTTGGTTATTGTAAGTATACATTAGAAAAGCCAAAAAATTTAAAATTTTCTTTGCTACTTCACAAGTAATTTTAGCTCTGGACACAAAACAATAATTTTCTGTTTCTCAAAGAACTATTGTTAACTGAATTATCATTGTATTTTGGGTTAAGGTAGTATGTGCATATATGTATGTATGTATGTATGTGTTAAAGTACATGCATGTAGCTATATGTGTGGGTGTGTGTATTGTGTGTGTATTTGTATATAATATATGTGCATGTAGGTGTGTGTGAGAGAGAGCCACAAGATTCACTTGACATTGTCCTGTGAATCATCCTACAAATTAGACTTAACCAGGTGACTGGGTATGAAGAGAGCTGACTAATCTTAAGAGTGAAAAATGGCCTGCAGCTAATTTTGGAGGCATGCTGGAAAGTCTTCCAGCTCTAACTCCAAAAAAATCTCCCCCTCTAGTCTCTCAAAATGATATTCTAAAGATGTATTTCCTTAGAAAGGAGACTTTAATCACTTGAAAAATGCATTGTCACCACTGGTTACAAGGTGACTTAGTGAGATAATTAGTTTCTTTTCTAACCTGTGCTGAACATAGAACTGAAAACTGAGGCTGCAGTGAGTGAGAACATCCCCAAAGGGAGGTTAATGGATGAATTTGAGAATGGACTGTCTGAAGTAGATTGCTAGGGGTTGTAGAGTGGACCCATAAGCCCCCAATGGGCAGTAATTACCTACAGAGGGAGAGGAATGACAGTATGCAGCAGACATTGCTAAAGTTGCCTACCCAAATCCATCCCCTGTATCAGCTCTCACAGAATCTGGACAGGTGCCTGCCCATATAAAAGCTTCAGGCTATCTTACAATTTGGTCCAGGCTAGCTCTCTGGCCTGTTTGAACTCATTGGTTAGGGAAAGTTTGTCAAAGGAGTCAGACTCAACTAGAATGTATTGTTTTGCCTTTTCTTTTCTGCATCCCTCTTCTTGCATGGTCTGTAATTTGGTGCTGAGACAGACAGAAAACATCCTGTATTAAGATGAAAGCATATATAGGCCAACGGTTTTTGAGCAGAAAGTTGAACCTTGGGATCTACTAATGCTAGTAAGCATTGTAACAACCTGAGTTGTCCTACTTCTGAATTTCTTGATATATAAGAAAAATAGCCCCCTACATGGTTAAATCATTGTATTTGGGTTCTCCTATCTGACACTTGAAGTCACCTGATAAAAAGTGGGAAAGCACTAAAGGCAGACACCTCTTCTCTTATAGAATAGACCCTTAGTGGGAATGCATGCTCAATTCCTCTTTTTCTCTAGCCACATATTACCAATATGTAAGCATTGTCTCTGTTTCATGCTCCATAACACCTGCCTGTTTCAATCACTTCACTCCATAAGTATCACACTTATGTATTAAGTATTGCCCAAGCCATGAGATTATTTCTTTCCTGAATTACTGAGACAGACACTTAAATGGACACCTTCTTCTATTTTTCCTCTCTATAAAGCACCTTCAAAAGACACTAGATTTTTATACACCACCACAGTAAAGACCTAAATGCTTTACAAGGAGCCCTAAGTTATTGAGTGATCTGATCTTTTCCTACTCTACTTCTTTCCCTTGTCACTGTCCTCAAGCCACGCCAGCCTTCTTTCTTTTCTCAATCAACCACACCTTAGAACCTTCGCATTTGTTGCTCCTTTTTCTTTGCCAAAGTCGTCATAATTGTCTCTTTTAAAATATAATTCAGGGGGGCCCTCCCTGGTGGCACAGCAGATTAAAGCACAATGCTAAGAAGCTAACGCCACTTCAGCATGAGTTCGATCCCCACACTGAAGGTGACCCATATGGTGTGGCAGACCCCTCCTGACCCACCTGCTGCTCCCCTCAGCAGTGTAGTTCATCAGTCGGCCTCTTCTGCTCCCCACTCTGCCTCTGGTGAATCTTCTCACCACCCCTGCACCTCTAGCCTGCACCCCAGTTCTGTATGCATAAATAAATACATCTTTAAAAAAAAATATATATATATATATATAATTCAGGACCCTCCCTGGGGAACAGTGGGTTGGCACTCAGCACTGCAAACTGGCTGCAGTGCTAGTTCGATCCCCAGTCCCCAGAGGTGACCCACATAGCACAGCAGACCTCTCCTGTCTCCCCTGCTGCTCCCCTCAGCAGCATACTTCGCCGATCTGCCTACTCTGCTCCCCACTCTGTCTCTGATAAACCCTCTCACTGTCCCTGCACCTCTGGCCTGTATCCCAATTCTACATGCATAAATAAATACAATCTTTAAAAATAGATAAATAAAATAAAATTCAGATCGTAGTTTAAATATTCCTCCTTGGAAAGGACTTCCTTTGACCATTTAGCTAAATCAGTACAATCCCCAGCTACACTTACTCTCAAGCTCAGCATCTTTTTTATTTCCTGCACAGCATTTATTGCTTACCTTGTCCATTTAACTTATTTTTCCACCATACCTCATCACTGTACCTTCAGTGCCTAGAACAGTGCCTGCCATACAGCATGTGGTCAATAAACTTGAACTGGCTGGATAGAGCATAGTTTTCAATTATCCAAGCAGACTTGTTCTTGCTTTCTGAATCAAAGGCATGCCATTTCAAAGCACATGTTTACATTTCCTCTTACACTGGATCTCACTTACATTTCCTTGTGGTTCCAGATCAAGACTCACCTCCATTGAGACACCTTCCTTATTTCAGCTCTTTCTGCACAGATCATCTTTTCCTAGCACCTCCCCCCCCCCCACCAAATCTGTCTTTTCTTAGCGCATTGTTTCTCCTCCTAGTTATTTCCCCTCGTGCTTTTATGCCTGTGCCTTTCTCCCCTTCTATACTGTGATTCCCTTACGGAATGGTAGACTTCTCTTTCAAGGTTTGCACAATTTATTGTTTTTTTTGTAAGTGACCACTGAAACCTGCTCCTAGCAGAGATGTAACCCAAAAGGAACGTATCACAAGAGTTTAAACAGCTGGAGCAACAACTTACCTTGTTTCACCACCAAGAGTTTTATAAGTGCTTTTATAAAACCCTTCAAAGCCATCAGCTAACTTGGCCTGGAATTCAATAGTCACAAAGTATCTCAGATCAGCCATAAGTTTCTCTGGAACCAGCAGTGCAATTTGTTGATGAGCAGGATAACTCAAAACATCTAGTGATTTTCCTGGTTTCCTATATCTCACATCTTCCTCTGAATGAAGGGTGGCCTTTGTGATTTCAAGATCTTTGCTGTTCAAGATGATAAATTGAGTGGCATCTCTGACCAACACTTCAATCTGCTCAGAGCCAACAAAGTCCAGGGAGGTGAGGTTTGGGTGGACATAAAGCTCATAGTGGAGTGGAATGACCATGCTTGGGAGCCTGAGCTCATACCAAGGGAATGGTTCCCCATTGGTGGCTATGAGGGAAGCCCCAGGGTTTTTATTGAGTTGATTATGAGGTGATATCGAGAACTGAGAACAAATGCATATTTGGGGAAAGATGATTGTTGAGTAGCAAAATCCAATGTAAATATTAAATATTAGTTTTCTGTGTGAATTAACCATTGCAGGAAAATGGGATACTGAATCTGTTCTCTAGAAGACAAATTAATATCCAGGCTTAATTTTGTTCATCATACTTTGTTGGTTCCAGTTAAGTCACAAAGGATAAGTTTCAGTGAATAGATTAAACCTGGAAGGAAAAAAAATCCAACATGAAGAATATTCCAATTCATAAATAAATATGTTGAAAATAAAAAGATACATGTAAATGAGGAAAGCTTGTCCTCTATAAGAATTAGGTCCAATGTTCACATAAAGAAAGGAGAAAGTGGGCCTCCCTGGTGATTCAAGTCTCACGATTTTGAAGCTATCCACAGCCACGAGTTTGATCCCCAGGCAGGAAGCTGGCCCACGTGGCACAGTACACCTCTCCTGTCTTGCCTACTGCTTCCCTCAGCAGTGTATTTCAGTCAGTCTGACTATTCTTCTCCCTCCTCCGTCTCTAATGAATCATCTCACTCTCCACACCTCTGGCCTACACACTCTGGCTATTATGCATAAATAAAAAATAAATATGATTATTACCAATAAAAATCATTTAAAGCTCAAATAAAAGGACTCTGCCTTAAAACTGCATTTGAAGTATCCCCTCTACATTGCTATGTAATGTGCAGAAGGCAGGTGAATACATTCAGTGTATGTTGGTTATTTTCAACATTTGGTTACATCATGTTAAAAGCATGCCAGCATACCTGAAAGAAAACTGCACAGGTATGTCTATCTTGTTTTATTTTTTAAATTTTTATTTATTTATGCATATAAGAACTGGGATACAAGCCAGAGGTGCAGGGAAGTGAGAGATTTCACCATAGACAGACTGGGGAGCAAAACAAGCAGATGTACTGAAACACACGGCTGAGGGGAGCAGTGGGCTCCTCAGGAGAGGTCTGCTGTGCCATGTGGGTCACCTCCCTGGCTGCAGATTGAACTTGTGCTGCAGTGGCTATGGAGAGCTCCATAGTCCTGTGCTTTAACTAATTGCTCCACCAGTCTATCTTGTTTTCAAGAGTCATAAAGAACCTTCTATACTATTTGGATGCAAGATATTATCATTAATAATTATATTGAACTTCACCTCATTTAATAAATAATATTATCTGAATGGTCTTAATTTTATAACTGTTGGTATAAAGGATGTTGTCAAATAAGATATTTAGTCTCAACCTACTTCCGATACATCAAAAGCCATGGAAACAAAATTTGAGTTTATAGTATTCTGACCGAGAATACTTTTTAAGTTATTTTGGCCTTTCTCATCTTGGGGTACTTTTGAAAACACAATTAAATTAAATTGAACTCACTGTCTGTTAATAAAACTAAGACATTTTTTTCTTACTATAAGGATAAAGCTGCAAAAGTGTAAAATGAGGCCAAACAGTATAATTAACTTACATGATTCAACTCTGAATCTAGTTACCGACTTCAGAGTTGAATTAAATTAAAACTCATATATGACTTTTTCCCTTTCATCATTAACAAGTTCTTCAGAATTAATTATCCAATTACTTTAGTTTTTCAATATGCAATATTAATGCAGAGCAATAGATATTGTTAAAGGAGTAAGGGTCATCTTTAACTTTACAACTGGCAAAGACTTTACCGTTCAGCTAGTACAGAACCTTAGTTTCCAGAAACTAAGAGAAACAGCTCTGTGAGCCATGATCTAGCAGATGCGCCACTGTAGTGCACTGTACCTTTAATGGCACTGCAGTGGGCAAGAACACCAGAAGGCATGACCATCCCAACAAACATTTGAGAAAAGTTAAAGATCTTTAAGAGACAATGAGTCTGCTAAGCAGACAGCTCCTGAAGTCAAGTGCCCCCGTAAACTGCACACGGTACAATAGAAGTAGCTTCACCCCTTCCCCACTTCCTCAACATAACAGTGCAATACCTTTAGTTCAGATCCTTATTCTCACTGAGAAATTCTTATTTTTAAGTCAAATCCAAGGGAAATATGCACGTTACCTTAGTCCACGCTGTTGCAGATTTGAATAGAGGGGAATTTATTTTTGCTTTCACTTTCCAGCCAGACTCAGAAGATGTAACACTTCCTGGTTATAGTTTTAGCTTGTTCATCCGGTTCATTATCATAAAAGTATACAAGAGGCCCTCCCTGGTTGTTCAGCGGGTTAAAGCACAGCACTAAGAAGCTTAAGCCACTTCCGCATGAGTTCGATTCCGCCTGCCCAGGAGGAGACCACAAGGCCAGGCAGACCACTCCTGACCCGCCCGCTGCTCCCCTCAGCAGTGTACTTGGTCGATCTGCCTATTCTGCTCCCTGCTCTGTCCCTGGTGAATCCTCTCACCCTCCGCATCTCTGGCCTGTACCCCAGTTCTGTATGAATAAATAAATAAATCTTTTAAAAAAAAAAGTATACATGAGGTGGGCCCTCTCTGGTGGCACAATGAGTTGAAGCACAGCACTGTGAAGCCATAGCACACAAGCACACACTGCAACACAATTTCAATCCCTGGCTAGGGAGGTAACCCACATGGTGTAGCAGACCTCTCCTGACACACCCACTGCTCCCCTCAGCAGTGTACTTTGTCCATCTGCCTGTTCTGCTCCCCACTCTGTCTCTGGTGAATCCTTTTACCCACTCCCCCACCCCACACCTCTGACCTGTACCCCAGTTCTGTACACATAAATAAATATTAAAAAAAAAAAAAGTATACATGGGGCTGATGACAAATGTTTTAGTCCAAAAAAGGCAAAAAACAAAACAAATAAACAAAAAAACCCCACAACTAACAAGTGGATTCAGAGGTTAGGATGATCAGTAGGCCTAGCATCTCAGTGGCTGCTTCTCCTGCTGACTTAACTCCCCACCTGCTTATCTCCACGTGTTAAGTCTGCAGAACCAGTTAGTGTTTTTAAGCACCAAGTTATTTTAAGAACAATCTTGAGTTACTCCCTGAGCTGTGTCCTTTGGCCATGAAACCTGACCTTTCTGTCCATCCACTCCGAAATGGCAAACCCAGGATATCCCTAACCTCCCGTTAGCTTCAGTGGCCTTGATCACAGGTATTTACTCTTGACATTTTCAAGGCTGTAATCTCTTGCCTCTGGGGCATAAGTAAACTGTGCCCTATCCTCCTCTCCAGCTCTCTTTCTATGCCAGGTGAGTGGGCCTCTTCTTCCTCATCACGGTGAGTTGTGAGCCACATTCCATAAAGCGGAACACCACCCTCTCTTTTCTCTTCCCTGAAGAGAGTGTGTGGGCAGAGCTAGTGCTTCTCTCCTCACTCACGCCACATTTCTCTCCCCTGACCTCTCCTTGCAGCATTCTGTTGCTGCAATTTCAACAGCTGGATGTGAGCGGCTACCTTTAGGTGCTGCCTACTCAAACACGGTCCCCCCCACCCCCACCCCGAAAGATGCTTCTTCTTTAACTTTGCTTCGGCTTTCCTTCATTATCTATGATGGGATCATGCATTTATTCTGAATCTAAATCCCTCTAAGTGGTTAGCAAGTCCTCTTGACTCTTCCTTTTTCATATTATCCTACCTACCTTGACTAAAAAATCCCTGCTATCAGTGAAGTAGTCCAGGTCCTCATCTCTCCATACAATGGCCTTCAAAGGAGTCTCACTTCCTTCTCCAGGCCACCCCTGCAGTGAGTGATGATGTCAGCAGAGTCACCCTTTTCACTATTGGTCATGCCACCCCCTGCTCCAAGCCTCTCCATGGTTTCCCACCATTCATACAAGGAGGCAGGTTCCCGTGTGGAGACCACAGCAGCCATTGGTGGCCCTTGAGCCACATGGACACTCTTATCCTCTTTTTGGCTTTGTTTAAATCCTAGTGTATTCGAGGGCAGAGTATCCACATAGAAATTATGCTTGGGTGAAAGACGCTCAGTTTGGGTCTTCCTGTCTTACAGACTCTCTTCATTCACCTGTATGGACTGCCGTGTCTTGCTGTGCATTCCATTTTGTGATCTGTGCCTTGCCCAGTATTCAAGTATTGGCATGACTTGGTCCTCATTAACTCTCAAGCCTCATTTCTCTTATTTTATATTTTATCCTTCATGAACACTTTGATAAAGTGGAGTAGGGGAAAGCAAGGAGAACTGGAAGATCAAAACTGAATGACGGTTCATGTAGTAAGGAGCGGCATTGTGAGTGTATATGGGGGTGGGTGACTGGAAACAGGGGAGTGAGAGGAGGTGGATGAGAAGGAGGAGGTAGCACAGGCCAATTCTTGGAAATCTAATTGCCAGCAGGGAAGGGAAAGGAAAAAGGCGGTAAAGGAAATGATATTGCTGTGCCAGGGCCTAGCACACGTTTGTGTGTGTGTGTGTACGTGTGTGTTCTCAGCACTCAGAACAGAAATGATGACGAAGAGTGAGGAAACAGTGCAATCATATTGAGCTACAGAATCCTAGAATAGAAAGTTGCATGGTGTCCGGGTGACTGGTTAGTGCATTATTTAAACTCTCTATCTCACCAAAAGTGGCTTCTTCTTTTTTCTTTTTTTAAAGATTTTATTTATTCATGCATACAGAAATGGGGAACAGGCCACAGGTGCTGGGGTGGTGAAAGGATTCACCAGAAACAGAGTGGGGAGCAGAACAGGAAGACTGACAAATTACACTGCTGAGGGGAGCAGCGGGCGAGACAGGAGAGGTCTGGGGCATGGTGTGGATCATCTCTGGGGCGGGGATGGCAGCCACTGCGTGGCTTATCTTCATAGTGTAGCATCAAGCCCGCTGTGGCACCGGGGAGGGCCAAAAAGTGACTTCTAATAAAGTAATAAAGTAAAAACTAAAATTGACTAACAACAATAAACCAGAGACATTCTACGGGGGAGGAGAAGGGAATAGAATCAAAACTGGGGCAGGAATAGTGCATGAAACTATGGTGATGGCACATGGGTGACTTGGTGGTGGGAAGTCCATGAGGATGACAACTGAGATGAAAAAAATGTACAAAATAAAAACGATGTAAATATTTATATATATGTATGTATGTATATAATTAAAATGATAAAATGCTTAGAAAAAATATTCCTTCTAATATTCTGCAACATGAAAAAATTAGCAAGCAAAGCTAATTGAACATTATGTCAGGCACTCAGATGTCTTAAAAATGATTTCCAAATG